AAGCATTAAATAATGCCAAAATGGGGCATTTTCAATGCCTCAATGCTCCTTAATGAGCATGGGCACCCCCCTTTTTTATTTCAAAATTGAAGTTATCATATGACAAATATTCAGTGGACAAAGTTTGAACAAAAATCTATTGTCACTTTTATTTCAGAGGAATTACCTTAAACCTGCAACCTGCAAAATATACCTGCCGAGGGAACACCACCAAAACAAGTTTTGATTGAACCTCTTTCCTCTCTCTTTCTTGAACCTCGGTTGTTATTCTTACAAAATTCAACAGAGACCGTGAATTCGTCGCTAAAACAAATGTGTCCGTTGGTACTTATTCATTAAATGAATTGGAATGGGTCAGTTAGACCATATGGGAATGGTACTTGTCAACCTCGCCAAACCAACGCAAAATTCAAGTTACGTTTCTTTATTTGACAAGAAAATGACAAGCAACGACAGTAAATGCATCTAAGATCCATAACAAACAATCGACATTCAGGGTAGATTTCACAAGCTGCGTTGTCCGTTATATAATTTCAAGGTGACCCTTCGAACGTCTCACGTAAGAAATGTGAACGCCTTACACCTAAAGACTCTAGGCTCCCGAGGCAGAGGAAAATGGAAAATAATACAAGTATAAAATAATGATCTAATTTCAAGACAGCCACATATGTTCATAGGCGGCGGAGCAGGAAGGCCAGGGGGCTGTAGCCCCCACCCCTCACCCCCAAACGAAAGTTTGGGGGCTCAGCCGAACAACGCAAGACATTTTGGAAAATACGATGCGCTTAGCTTAACGATGAGCGCCCCCCCTCCCCCCCCTTCCATGTTTCCAAACGCTCCGCCTCTCAGTGTTCTCGAGAATACATAAACCGATCACCAAGGGAAATTGTCTTGATATACACCTATGGTCCTTTCAACCTGGGTGCTTGGTTTTACCATTTCAGACCACATGATATTCTCCAAAGTAATGTTCTTCAAACCACCCAAGCTAAATAGATACAATTCCCAGTTGTGCTATTAGAACTGTATGAAGACTATATTCAGGAGAATTTAGGGTGAATTGACACCAAGGCGCTGTTTACTACTCTCGTTCTCGGAGCCCTTTTAGCACCGGCTACCATTCAAGTCGAGAAGAACCTGGCGACAAATTTGGATGTTTACGCGGCCATAAAGTTTTAGTCCTATTTTGTTACACGAATGCATACAAAATTGCAACTCTCTCACTGCGATCTCCCAGCTGCCAAAGTAAATCTTTTTAGAAGTTTGTCTCTTAAAACTATTCGAAATGTTTGTGAAGTATAATTTCCTAATTTACTTCAGCTACATGACAGCAGTCTGTCTTAAAAAGGTCACAGTTGATCGTCATTTCTTTACGTTTCTGAACTACCAAGAAATCGTAACAAGTTCTCCTCAATAGTGATCAACATCTCATAATTCAACACAACATCAAAAAATACAGATCTTGAAAGAGGAAACGAAAATGCATCAACTGCTCACAATTCTCTCCCATCTAGCTAGATTAGTACTACAAGAAATGTGTATGTGTGGTATCAGAACTTCAAGGATTAGAAGGGTCTGTTCGTCAAAATGAAGGAAATGTTTCAACGCAACATTCGCATATAAATACTAAGATGAAAGACCACACCCACGAAAATAATACAAGACAGTGGTCATATACCGGTTAAACTGTAAATTAAAGCAGTTTTCTGGAAAAACGATATCCATCGTCATCACTCTTTAAGTGACTTGCTATTGCTCGTTCGTTTAATACAATAAAACTTAAGGCTAACATTAATTTTAAGATCGTTAGAAACTAGTAAAAAATGGATCAATTGTTTCAACGAATGACTGGAGGGCCGCTTTCACTGTGAACTCTGGAGCTACTAGAAAGTAAAGAGCTCCCTGCTACACAGCCATTTTGCTGGGCATCATGTCTATCTTCCATCCTCTATCTTCTTCCTTAGCATAAGCGATGACGGAACAGTTGTAAAACTCACAATTTTCCCAACAGTTTGTTCGAGGACGAAAAACAAAGTAAAAAGTAACAATAAATGGCTGAAAAACTTACATACTAACGTGTCTAACATACACTTAACAATTTTCAATAAAGTCAATACACATATATAAAAGTACGTCCCTGACAAAGTCAAGCTCTGTACATATGGCACTGTAGTACACTCGAAGGACGACGCACTGACACTGTCTTAATAGTTTCTTTCATCTACTGCGTGATCTGTCTTTCTCTCGGTTTTCTTTCTTGTCTCGGTTACTTCTTCCTCGAGATTCATCTCGATCAGAACTTCGTCTCCTCTCTCGGTTTCTATCGCGACTTCGGCTGCGTCTTTTTCTGTCATCGTCTCTGCTACGCCTGTTCGGGCTTCGACTTCGGCTTCGTTTTCTCCTTTTGTCTCTGTCCCTGCTGTCGTCACGTCTTCGTTCGTGACTCCGACGTTCTTTGCTTCGTCGTCGTGAACTGTCCCGGTCAGGACTTCGACTTCGTCGCTTTTCCCGCCCACGATCACGATCACGATCACGATCACGATCACGATCGCGACTTCGGCTTCGGCTACGACGTGGTTTTGGATGACGATCGCCGTCGGCCGCCTCACCATGGCGTCTGCTTGAGGGGCTGTATAGAAATAAAGAGTAAGAAAAAAGTCAACACATAGTTTCGAAAAATAGCATCGAGTACAGCTGTAAAGAAGGAACAGGATCTTGAAACAAAAGTAAACAAAACGTGTGTGAGATAAACCGAGATTAACTCAGCGCAGTTATCTAGCCGAACCAGACTAAAGAACTGAATTCTATGTGTAGTGTACAAGAGGATGAATTCTCTGATAGTTCTCAGTTCCCAGACTCACCCACCTTTCGTCACGTGTGCGTTTGACAAAATCCTCCGCCTCTCCCCAGCCCTCTTGCGCGGTACGCTTGTGATCGTCACACAGTCCTTTTGAACGCAGTTTCGTCTCAAGGTCTTTTTGTACGGGGACAGGAATTCGGGGGAACAACGTTCCATACCATTCTAGCTTTAACAGGAAACTTCTGACCATCTGGCCAATAGTCATGGTACATCCACCACCGGCCTTAGGATCTACCTCCTGAAAAATTGAACACACAGAAAAGAATATTCATTGACGAGTGATCATTGGATAAATGCAGTTTCCTGACGTGACTCGAGGTGAAGAGAAAAACAAATTTTCGACTGTACACTTCGGGCAAGCGTTAGCTATGAAGTACTGGCCCGAAAGTCACTCTCACTGGCCTTCCCAAAATCTTTTACTAGTATGATTGATTAGCTTCAAATTACGCTTATTCAATAATAATTGATGTACTTCTGTAATTGTACTTCACATAAAGGATAGAATCCACTAGCCCCGAGCTTTCGGATATGACTTGCTTTGCACATTGACACTGATCAAAGTTGTTCAATGGGAGTCTGTTACTGTCACACCGCATTAGAAACAATCAGAAGCAACACTCACGACTGTCTGCTTCAGATACCAATTGTATGGAATAGCAATGTCAAAGAATATGGGTTTTCTGGAAGTTGTTTTCAGCGGGTCGACTGTCAGGAAAGTTTAATGGGACCTTTGCAGTTGAAAACAAGAAAGAGCAGAGTTCACATGTCAAACGCCTGGCATCTTGAGGGAAGGTTAAAAACCACATCCCTCGTTATGGAATTTATTTACATAAAATAATTTACATAATTTTACAGGAAAAAAATGACAAAACAAAGTGCCTTGAATATGAATTAGAATGCAAAGCACACAGTAGAGCATATGAACCATAACTACTCAGGTGTCAAGTTAACCTCTTGTAAGGCAGCTCGGTGCAATGCAATATCTGAAGGCCTGCAGTCGGCATGGAAACGGCTGTCATGAGCTGCCTAAGAGAGGTACATTACTGAACAACCTACAAACACATCAAGACTATGTCAACAAGGTGCCTCCAAGAGGTATGATATTGTAACAATGAGAAAAAGCACCAAAAGTCTGATGAAATTCACCACTTTACAGTGTTTTGTACTCCACTTGCATGTCTGAATTGACTGCTCGGTTTTATGCTTAACATTCAGTCCCAAGTTGAAAATGTATTATTCAAGTTCTCATAACCAACTGTCATGGAACCCCTACTTATGTTAGCTATGGGAATTTGGCAGCACGTAAAGATCCTCTTGGTCTTAGCTAATCATTTTTTAATTAATTCTACTCAAATGTCATCAAACCACTAGAAGTTCTCCTTAAATTTGTCAGACCAAGAAAGCAGCCTTGTCACATTTTGGATCTGAGAACCCTTTCTTATCTGGAACAATGTCAACCATATTTTACAATGCTCTCATATCTGAGCTAGTAAAAAGAATACCATGATCAATTCTACAATAGCTAATTTCTTTTTTTGAATAACAGGCTGTAGTTAATTTGTTGTTGGGAACAGGTTGTTTCAAGCCTGAAGCACAGAAATAACAAAAAGAAACAAAATTCTACACCAGAGCATTCTTCAACTTGTTGCCAAATGAAGAAAACAAAGATGCAAAATACCTCAGGTATTTTTGTCTGTTTAATCAAAGTTAACGCAACTGACAACTCACCTCTTCGTCTTCTAAATATGGTTCCATCCATTCCCAGAGTTTGTTAGGAGGTTGACAGTATCTGCAGGGATAATGAAAACAGCACGAAATCGGTAAAAACTTACAGGAAGGACAAAATGGAGGACAAAATGAACTTCACATGAGATGAACTAAATTGCAATTTGAGTCGATCCAAATGGGTAAAGCTCGATCGCCGTGTCAAATGTCGAACTTAATTCAAATTTGGATTGACCAACACATTCTATTTATCTGCTTCAAATGAAGAGTACATGTTGGTAGATCTAAATTGACCTATACGCAGACGACACGACGTTAACCTCCGCTGCTAACTTTGATTCTGTTGGTGTTTTACAAAGTTCACTGACTACAGCAATTTCTGAGGTCAACCAATGGGCAACAGCTAATAAACTTCCTCTTAATGAGAGCAAGACAAAAGTGCTTACCATTACTGGCAAGCGACTTTCTACCAGAATTAACCACGACCTTGCTGTAGTTGTTAATGGAAAACAACTGGAGAATGTTCGTTGTGCAAAGCTTTTGGGACTAGAAATCGACCACGAACTAACATTTATCTCTCTTGTGGAGATATTGAGTAAAAAGCTCTCGCAGCGGATAGGCATTTTAAAGAGAATGAAATATTGTCTACCTCTAAAACACTGACTTATTTTCTATAACACCATGATAAGACCGGTAATTGATTATGTAAATGTGGTTTGGACGAGCTGTGATAAACATTGCCTTAACCGAGTTCTAAAGTTGCAGAAGAGGGCTGCTAGAGTTATTCTAGACGCCGATTGTCAAGCCTCCTCTGTCAAAGTGTTCAATAAACTAAACTGGATACCATTTTTCAAACAGGCTAAACTAACTAAATGCTGTATTATAAACAAGCGTTTACAGGGGCATGTACCAACCTATCTTAAAAGTTTACTTAAGCTTACTAGCGAAACTCATTCATGGCAGACTAGGTATGCCAACTTCAATACTGCTCGCCCTGTTATCAAACGTAAAACTGAAGAAGGAAGAACATTTACTGTGACTGCCTGTCAAGCCTGGAACAGTTTACTGCTATCAATGCAGAAAATAGCGTTGCTTAATTCTTTCAGGAACTCTCTTTGGAAAAAATTTTTTGAAGAACAGCAGCTTTTAAATCATTTTATTCTGTGATTTAGTTACACTTTTTGTACTTTTAATTGATTTCATCTCTTATCTCTTGTATTTTTATTCGTTATATTATCTCATAGTTATGCCATAGTTTTAACATCCATATTGTACATAATTTTTAGAGGGCCACTGGTTTGTTAGTATTTTTATACTATTTTAGTGCTACCCTCTTTGAATAAAGTCTTTACTTACTTACTTACTTACTTATTTATGTACAAGCTCAGTTGAGTCAAATGTAGTACTGCATGTGAAGTTCAACGTTTGACCTGTGCGTAATGTTCCCAATATATGATTAAGTCATCATCCCACTTTACGAGTACTCTCACAGCGATACCCCCTAACTGCCCTCAGCTGTCCCCCATCCCCCAGAAAAAAAGGAGGAGGATGACAGGATTCACCCCCAGGTCTGTTCCATTACATTGTTATTCACTTCACAACAAAAATACTTGACAAATAATCTGTTTCCTTAAGGTCAAAATATGATATCAAAATGTGCAACAATAATTATGAAGCCATGAAAACAATCTCATGCAATAGTCCATGAAAATGGTGTCAAATAAGCTGTTTGTCTAATATTCAATATCACAATCCTACAAAATATGGGAAATAACATTAACTAGCTTTATATAAGTGTACAATATTAAACAAAAAACATTTTTCAGAGAAGGTCACGTACCCACCTAATGAACATGAAGCCCAGTGCTCTAATATAGGGTGAGTCTACATGTGTTATCAAACCATTGAGTTGTTTTCTGGTAAGTTTTAATGTGAACAGCTTATATAAGAGACAAAATGCTGTTGATACAATTCCACCAGCACCAACTCCACGCACCTATCAAAGAAAGAAAAAAAGAAATAATTATTGTAATAATTTCCATCAAAAAAAACAATACACTACAGTTGTAAGTGGCAAGTGTTGAACTACTTAAGTGAAACGAGTGTAATTGAAATTGCAAACTGAAATTAAGCATCATTCAGAAGATTTATAACTCATTAACGTATCTCTTTGAGTCCTTAAATATTTTAATATATAGTGAAAGTATCTTTCATTTTTGTATGATATTTAAAGAGATGGGAGGTGTAGTGGGTTGGACTTAGAGATAGGTAAGAAGTAAACCTTCTTTGGCAGTCACAAGTACAGTGTAGCTGCATGGATGTAAACCTCAAAACATAACTTTTCTTAAAGTGCACCTAACCCCCAAAATTTTTTTTTCGCTAAAACGAATCCACTT